ACTCAAAACCTGATTTACAATGATGATTTTCGATGATTTCATTGCATATTTTTGAGCTCAAAATCTGGTTTATTTTGACAATTTTCTTGATTTGTTACATATGTTAATGAACAAAATCTGATTTACAATGATGTTTTTCTATGATTTCATTGCATAATTTTGAGCTCAAAATCTGGTTTATTTTGACAATTTTCTTGATTTGATACATATGTTAATGCACAAAATCTGATTTACAATGATGATTTTTTATGATTTCATTGCATATTTTAGAGCTCAAAATCTGGTTTATTTTGACAATTTTCTTGATTTGTTACATATGTTAATGCACAAAATCTGATTTACAATGATGATTTTCTATGATTTCATTGCATATTTTTGAGCTCAAAATCTGGTTTATTTTGACAATTTTCTTGATTTGTTACTTATGTTAATGCACAAAATCTGATTTACAATGATGATTTTCTATGATTTGATTGCATATTTTTTGGCTCAAAATCTGGTTTATTTTGACAATTTTTTTGATTTGTTACATATGTTAATGCACAAAATCTGATTTACAATGATGATTTTCTATGATTTCATTGCATATTTTTGAGCTCAAATTCTGGTTTCTTTTGACAATTTTCTTGATTTGTTACATATTTTTTTGCACAAAATCTGATTTATATCAACTTTTTTTATTTATTTCTTGAATTCTGAAATATCTGGCACGTGTGTTTTTATTTAAAAAATCAAGAATAAAGTTTTTCAATTAGTTTTCTAAATTGCATGTTTTTTTTTGCCTTGTTAGCAAAAAAAAATCGATTTTAGTGTGTACTAAAATCCATCGAAATCGATTTAAATCGATTTTTTAGACACTTAAATCGATATAAAATTTTCAAAAACATCAATTTAAATCGATTTAAAATGGATTTAAGTGAGATTCTGATGGATTTAAGTGAGATTCCTATGGATTTTAGTGAGTCGGAAAATCCATCCAAATCGATTTAAATCGATTTTTTAGACACTTAAATCGATTTAAAATTTTCAAAAAAATTGATTTAAATTGATTTAAAATCCGTTTGAGTTCGTAAAATGTACATGGTTAATCGATTTAAATCGATTTAAAATCGATTTAAAATCGATTTTAAATCAATTTAAATCGACCGGAAACCATTTCTGTCAGTGCGGGTAAATAAAGCATTTAAGAGCGGTTTTGAATCCCCGAATTGCGTTGCGAAAAACTGTCTGTGAGGGATGATCCCCGCATGTCCCAATTTTTTTTCCTTTAAAACTGCAGTTTTAATACATGTATCAGCAACTGGCCTGGAGGACTCGATCAAGCGTCGGAATGATCTAACTATTTATGGCGTTCCATTAGCTTAAAGCACTTGGCCAACTTGTCCTCAAAATGAGTGGCACTAGTTCAGTCTTATTTCAAGCGTCAACAGAGAAGGCAGGCTTCAAAGTTTTAAGAAATTTAAATAAAACCAGCATGTGTAGAACCCGAAAAACTGAATACACGAGAATTTACAAGCAGATTGATACTTATTTACAGAATGTAAACACACGGGTATAGATTAGTGATGTTTGAGTTACTTGTAAATTTTAAGGCTTCGGGTTAAAATTTAATGTGGTTGCCACCATAACATAGGGACATGGTAAAGCAATATTTAGTCCTTGAGGTTTGATTTTTTGTCTGACGGCCTGCCAATGGCCTTGCTGACCTCTATCCGCCTAAGCGAATCTTTATTTATGCTTTTTGTTAACATACTTTTTTGAAAATGACGATAAATTGGCTGAAAAATGAAGTAAGTTAGGCAAATATTTACTACAATTGTCTCCGCAAAATAAAAAACAAAGATTATAAAGAAACAAAACAATTTTTTTAAAAAAATTGTGCTGTTTTTTGTTGTTTTGAGAACTAGTTTTCCCGAACAAAAGTTTCTCCCGCTACAAAGCAATGAAACTCAGCTGAAAAGTAATTACTCTATTTCTTGACCTTCAAAAACAACTCTCAAAATTTTTCCATGTATTGAGTCAAACATTAACCAAGAAATAATCAAAACTAGCTTCAACCTATCTTTAAAGAACAGCAGCGTTCCATGGTTAAGTTCGGTATGAATTAGTGCAAATAATTGGTAGATCATGTGAAAAAATAAGAAACTATAGGCAAAGCTATCAAAAAACAGCTATTAGATTATGCAGCTGTTTTCATAAAGCTCAATTTAACTAGCAGTAAGGTTTTTCAGTGTTGCTCGTTGCAAAGCAGTTAGGATTATTATCTATCGTCCTTGTGTTTGATTATCTCACGCACCATTCGAGCAGTAAATTACCACAAAAATCAATTCAAACTCAAATTATGAATATAAACCACGGCTGAATTTGATCTGCAATTTTTTGGCGTTTCGTTATACATTTGCCTTTTAGATGATTCAGGTCATTCACATCAAATCTCTGGCGTAAGTTCGTTTTGCTGAAAGATTTTTCCGCACACCAAAAAGTTATTCTACCGAAAATAGTTCCGCAAAACAGACTTGGTATACCAAGTTTGTTTTGCGGAACTTTCTTCGGCAGATTCATTTACTACTTAAATTGACTCAAATCAATACCCGTACCCAACGGACGCTGTTTTTCTAGATAGAAATTTTATGTAGCTTATCTATTTTCTCGTGTTTTCCGTGCAGAAGTGATCTATTTCTTTTCTAGTTTAAAAATAAAAACTTTCTGGAAAAAAATTAACCAGAAATCATTTCACTGCTCAATCGCAACGAGAAATAAACATGCTTCGATTATACAAAATAACAGTAGCAATACAATGCAAACTTACACTTTTTTTAAGACAAGTGTTATACTGCTAAAACTAGTTTCCTCCATCAAGGTCTGTAGCCTAGTGGATAGAGCAAACGTCAATGAGTCAGAGACTCACAGGTTCTAGGCCAACCTTTTTTCTAGCTAAAAATATCCTAGATTTAGCTAATTTCTGATAAGGATTAGGATGAGAAACAAAGAATTTAAAGAAAATACATGCTTTATTTAAACATTTCGGCTCTTATTCCTTCCCCCTCCAACCTCCCACGACCATCAATTTTATGATGCAACGAGTGGTTTTACAAGGTTAAATATGAAGATCAAATGTGTATTGCACATCCTCATCCTAATTAGTCCGCATGTATAATTACAGAATGATCGGTTAATGTGAACAGTCACTTCACTAGTAAAAAAATTTGCAGGTGGGAGGGAAGGAAAAAGAGCCAACATTTCAAAAAAATTTCTGATCAGAAATTAGATTAGATACAAAGTATTTCAGGTTAGAAATAAAGAATTTTCCTGGTACGGGTATACTACTATGATAGAGTGGTCCCTTGAAAATTGCCAGGTCTCTTGAGAAAAAGGCCCCTAGAACTCTGAAATCCTTTAATAAGTATCATTTCTTCATTCAGAAGGGTGTCGCAGTTTCAAAAAAAAATACCAACATGGTGTTTTGATGAAAAATAAGTCCGCTCAATTATGGTTGTTAAACCATAAAGTACCCTCATTGACAAAAATGGATTAGGATCGATTTTAGTATAAAAAAATACGCTGATCCAATTTAGATCGATTTTAGTATCAAAAAAGTACGAAGATTAAATAAGATAGATAAAGATTGATTTGGATCGATTCAAAATCGATTTAAATTGATCTTAAATCCCAGCTAAGAAAATTGATCCAAGTTGATTTTAAATTGATTTAAATCCATTTTTTTCAGTCTTGATTTGTTTTTATTTTTAGGGGATTAAAACGGATTTAAATCAATTCAAACTGATATTTTTCATTCCAGTTTCATCAGTTTCAAATTTTTATTGCGTTTTTTCATTGCCTATTGTTTTTTATTTTTATCCATAGCGTATTGTAGCACACATCGTAGCAAAAAAGACCAAATAAAAAGACCAAAATATCGATAAAGTTCCATAATTTCCTTGCATATTTTGAGTTCAAACACTGATCTGTATTGACCCTTTTCTTGATTCGTTTCATAAGTTTCTGCTCAAAATCTGATTTTCATTCATGATTTTGTTTGATTTAATTGCATGTTATTGAGATCAAAATCTAAATTATTCTCACCTTTTTCTTGTTTGTTACATTGGATTTTGCCTATAATCTGAATTACAATAATTTTCTATGATTTTATTGCACATTTTCAAGCCTAAAATATGATTTTTTTGGATCATTTTATTGAATTCTATAACATCTGGCACGTTTGTTGTTTTTTTTCAAAAAATTTAGAATTGAATACTTCAATTTTTTTTTCTAAAGATTATGTTTTTTGCCGTGTTAGCAAAAAAAATGATTTTGGTGAGTCTGAAAATTTATCCAAATTGATTTAAATTGATTTCTAAGACACTTAAATTGATTCAAAATTTTCGTAAAGATCGATTCAAATCAATTTTATGTGGATTTAACTAAGATTTGAACGAATTTAAGCGAGTTTAGGATGGATTTTAGTGAGTCGGAAAATCCATCCAAATCGATTTTTTAGACACTTGTTGATTCGGTCCAAAATTTTCAAAGAATATCAATTTAAATCGATATAAAATCCATTTAAGTTCGTGAAAGGTGCGTTGTTAATCAATTTGGATCGATTTAAAATCGATTTAAATTCAATTTAAATCGATCCGAAACCATTTTTAACAGTGCGGGTAAGTTGAAGCGAGCATATTTCTTGATAAAAACAAGTTTTCAAATTATACCATGCGAGTTGCATGCGGGACCTGTCTATCATAGTTGCTTTTCGTTGGACCACTCTATCATAGTAGCACCACAGACTTACCCCCAAGATTTGATTTGACTTGGTGGCACATCTAAAATACAATTATGCAGAAAAATTCCAGTGCCTATTCGTATTTTTTGCTTCTACATACTTTTTTCTGCTATAATAGTTAAATATGCTTGTTCATAACGACAAAATTATGTCGACATACATAAGATAGCTCTGAACCAGGTATTACTAAGTCTGCTTTCAGTAAATATTCGCACAAATTTGTTCTGGTTACATGACTGAATATTTGCTTCAGTACAGTTTGAACAAACAGATTCTATACGTATCACTAGTTATTTAATCTTTGAATAAATTACTGTGCACATTTTGTAGACTTTTCTGAGAAATTGATAAAAGTGCCGCGTAAATAAGACGGACAAAAATATTCGGACGACACCAATAACTATTTTCCTTGTTGTAATCACACTAATAGTAGAGTCTTACTTTTGTATTTTCTCACGATTGACAAAATCCAAAGGATGAAATTCGACGATATTTAAATTTTTCAAAAGCTAGCAGTTTGCAGAAAAATTCAAAGCTTTGTGATACATTTTCCAAATATTTTTTTTCGAGTAAATTAAATGTTCAATTTATCCCGAATTAACTTTTTTGGTTTTCAAAAATTATCTAAAGCTTGCATGGAAGCTTCATAACTGTGAACCTTTTGTCGTCATAACAGCTTTCGTCTTATTTGCCGGCATCACATATTGATTAAGTAATGGCAACTTATGAAGAAAAATTCGAACACAATCAACATTGTGAAGCATTTATATGTTGTCAAAAGTGCGATTTCCACGCCACGACTTTCGACAGTGATGGTCATCCCGAATTTGTTATCGAGGACGAAGGCTATCTTTGGTGTCCTAACAACCACAGGCTGTTCCGCTCGTTTTGCGAAGTTTGCGCGGGAACCTACACCCACTTTTACAGAAATAGAAACCGAGTTCTTTGTGTTTCCTGTGATTATCCGGTTTTCATATTTAAACTACCTTTGCTGGACCATTTTGATTTTCTGGATTACAAATTTGACTTGACTGTTTTGGAAAGAGAAATTTGTTGTGAAAGACACAACTGTTCCAATTCTAGCCTGCGTGAGTTCCAAATTATACCCATTGACGATAAAATACTGTCGCTCACATGTCATAAATGTGACTTGGAACAAATTATTGTCCCTACAGATCAACAGGAAAAAGACTGTGGAACTGCGAACGATTTTTACCAAGGGGGAGGTTGTTCACGCGATGAAATGGATCTAAGAAAAAATTGGGATGCGCCACAGAAATATCCCGGAGGCGCACTTGAGATAGTTCAGAATGGAGCAAAGACCGGATTCTTCTCGAAGTTGAAAGCCGTGACCATGCCGGTGTTCAGGACGCTGTTTAATATCGGAAGGCGAACATTCAAACCAGTGGCTAAGTTAGCTTTAAGTGCAGCAGCACCGATTCTCGGGCCTCTGGGAACTACGGTCGGGTTGACGCTGGTAGAGATAGCAGGACACTTATTGGAACAGTTTGCTCAGGAAAAGGATGATGGAGACAAGAAACCAATCCAGGAAATCATGAAAGAGCTTCTCCCCTTTTTAGAAGACCACGTTGTAGAACAGGTGCTTAAAATATTGGGAAAAAAATCAGTTGCCAAGGGAATTAAGGATCGTTAAAACTAGCGAAAGACTATTTTGATATAAAATTGGATACGAAAAAAGGTATATATACATTTAGAACTCGATTTAGATAAATTAAAGATTTAGTTAGATATTTCAATTTCAGTGTTATTCGAAGTACATCAATTTTTTGAATGATCCATTAAAAAAACTTATTTTGAGTGAAAAAGAAAGATTTCGATGCTTCGAGTTGAAATCTAAAAATTTCACCTTCAATATAATAACAGCTTTCGATTAAGTTATAGGGCGGGCGGCAAATTATTGCGGTTCAGAAATCAGTTTTGGTTATGTTGCGGAAAGTCATTATGTTCGAGCTAAAGTTGACCAGAAACTAAATATTTCAGTTTGTTCTTGGTATTGCTTGCAAGGGAAAAGTTTCAATTTGCAAAAGAATGCGACTTTTTTCCACCATATTTTCCAAATTTCTTCTTTTTCCAAAGAAATGGCTATATGATTGACGGCGTTAATTAGTCATGCATAAACATTCTAAAGTTTTTAAAATTGTGTTTTAAAAATTGCTGCTGCTCTCACAAGCGTACAATTTGAAGCTTTTGTTCTACACTGCTGATATGAATTAACCGGAGACTACGAACAACATTGAAAACTTCAAATTCTTTTTTTCTCAAATAGGGTTACGATTACACAAAAAGTGAAGAGCACAAAAGTTGCTTGGAATTTCAGCACAACTAATATGGTGCATTTTTTCTCCAAAATTTGTAACCAAAATTTTCGCAAAAATAGTTCATTTTAGCTATTATAATATTCCAGATTTACGCTGAAACTAGTTCTAGAAAAATAATTTTTTCAAAAATCTTTATCAAAAAAGGTAATTTTTACTGTATACAAATCAAAATATTTAGCTAAAAGCAAAATTTAAAGATTTTACGCAATTTTTGTAAGTTATACCTCTAAACAACTTTATTGGGCTGTGAGAGAGGCTTCTTTTGATATAATTTTTTCGACAATTAACTTCGTAGTGACAGCATAACTCTTGATAAATTAAAAAATGTTCTATTTTGGGGTAAAATTTTAGTTAAGAAATTCGGTTAAAAATTGCGCCATAAAATTTCTGATACAATTCTCAGCAACTTTTGTTCTTTTGACTTTTTATCTATCATAACCCAACTTGAGAAAAACGCGTTTGAAAATTCAATTTTTTTTTCTGGATATATTAAATCAGCACTGTACTACCAGTCAATTTTTTCGAATGCAACTATCATGTTTTTTTTAAAAAATCATTTTTGTGCAAATTGTCTCTGACATTCAAACCACACAGTGATATCTGCATCATAACTGCATTCTTTTGTCTGTTTTTGAGTATGGAGCAGCTACAATATGTTGAGTTCGAACCCATTGTCATTAAAAAACCTTTGTATTTCAAATTCTTTCTGTAAAGGCTAAATTTTGAAGGGCACTAAGCATAAGGTAAGGTGCTCACTTTGAGAGCTTCTGACCGTGTTTTTGATCCCCTGCCATGGTAATGATAGCGAGTGAGACCGAGCCCTCGTTTCACCTCAAAGCTTCAGGTCTACAACAGCCTGAACAATTTCGGTTGCAATAGTGGTACCACGTTAAAACTACTTGGCACAAAAAAAACCTAGAGACACAAAACATTTTGCTCAATTTAACTTCGATGAAGTTGAAGATACTATGCTTAGACAAGCTGGCTATACTTTCATACATCATCAGTGAATAGCAAAAAAAAAATAATTAAATCTTCTAGTAGTTATTGAGTTTTAAGCTCATGTTGGCATTTTTTTTGCCTGAGATGTGTAGTGATAGCTTCGCCTATGAGTAAAAGTTTCAGAGCCAAGAGAGCAGACGAAATTTAAACAGTTTGAAAGTAATTTTCTATGATACAAAAAACTAAAACACAGAGATGAAAAAATTTTAAACATTCAATTATAAAAGCCAAACAAGACTACTCGTATCAGAGCGAAGCCCTGAATGTTCCGACTGCCTTTTAAGGCTTATGGAGCAGTAATAACCTTAAAAATTCAATGAAATAAAACAAAAGGAAAATTTTTTTTTCTAAATTTTGAATTTTTTTATGAAATAAGCTCCCCACACGCCATATAAAGTACAAAATGATAGATTTCGCTCCTTGTAACAAACCAATTATGGCAAATAAGCTTCTTTTAACCAATTTGGAACAATTTCTAAGACGGATTAGCTCTCCGCTTACGCGTTAATTGCGCGAAATATATCGCGCATTAATTGTCCCAAATTGGCCAAAATAGCAATCATTAAACCCCCGTAACTTTACGAAAAATGATCACAGGTGAAATATCTTTTCAAATTTGAGCTCAGGACAACGTATTGAGCTCAATACCTTTCGAATGATATAAAAAAATTTGACCAAAAATGGCTAGTTAAAAAGTCGAAATTTGTCTGAAGAAAAAAAAATCCACCCCGAGCACAAATATTCCGTTTCTTTCGTATCGAAAGTCGGAACAAATAGCCAATTAAGAACAGTAAAACCATTCAGTGAACAGATAAAATGCTCATTTTTTATTATTATTTTTGCTGATATCCCATTAGACTGTTTCGGTTTTCTAGCTTCCAATATCAAAGCAAGTTGTAAAACACAATGTACTGGCTCTTCATGATTGCTTAGATTAAAGTTAAGCGGTGAAAAACTTCTAATACCTTATACAGTCTATACGATAGTTCAATTGTTCATTAAAACTTTTAACATCATTTGAAATAGTTTATCTGGGAGGACGGCTCTTAGATTATTCAACACTTTACCGGCAAATTTTTCTGCATTTAAAAATTTTATACAACCACATTCGATACAACTCAAACATAGCATGGCTAGATACCGGAAAACAATTGAGACGAATGCCTCTTGATCGAAAAAAAACTTTAAAAAATGTCAAAAAAGACTACTATAAACTTCAACAGCTTTCTCGATTTGCAATTTTGAAAACAAAAACTAATTCGTAGAAACTCGAGTATTGAATTAGCATCGAAGCACAACTTACGCAGCGTAAATTAAACTACCTCAGCAAAAATATACGAAGAAAATTGTTGCCATTATCGAACTTGAATTTATCGAATATACACAGCCACACATGCATTGCATTATTTTCCAGCCATCAACTACGCCATATGCGTAGACTGAAACAACTTTTCACAAACCTAATTTTATTACACTGACTGAAGAAAATAGAAAAAAAAGAAGCAATAACTGAAATAGGTCAAACTAGAATGGGTAAATTGTAAACAACATAACTGAGATTTTCCGAGATTTAAAGGACAAAACTAGATTGTTCGTAATAGTGAATTGATTGATTAGTTGCTTTGATTCTTAGTTACTTGAGATTTAGTTAGTCAGACTTTGACTAAATGAAATAGAACAAATAGAGATTGAATAAACTTTACATCTAACAACGATGTATACAAAAACATAAGAGTGATCACACACAGTGTGTCGCTCGGTAAGGCCAATCCGGTGACCTTGAGCAGACTGGTAAATAACTATGCAGCATGGCTGCAAAAGACAGCAAAATAAATGAGGTACTAAATGTCGCCTCATCACATTCCCCGCGGAAGGGAAAATTTTTGGGGAACCCAAAAATTGTTTAATACATAAATAAATAGACAGCACCCCTAAGCATTATTTTAGATAGCACCCCTATCCCGTAAAATGCATGGTGAAAAGAATAATGTTTAAATACGAAGTTTTGTTAAAAGTTTGAGAGTGAGTGTTTTTTTTTCGATCTTCAGATTTCGTCCTGAGCTTTAACTGGCGAGGAGGAAAATGACGCCTCCGGAGAAGTTAAGTGTAAACGGTCCCGAACAAGAGGTCTACGTTTTGGTGACGTGGAGGATGATGGCACTGAAGTGTCTTTTGCGTATGTCTTGGAAGATGGTATAATACTTGTAGAGGATGATGGCACTGAAGCGTCTTTTGCGTATGTCTTGGAAGATGGTACAATACTTGTAGAGAATGACAAGTCGGCTTCTTTTCCTAATGATTTGGCTTCTTCCACCGATTTGACCGAGTGCCGTAACGGGTCGCCGAAAAATCTTGTGGCCTTTTTGTTTCGAGATGAGGCCCGAGTGCCTTCCAGATCATCCGTAGTTGGTTGAGCTGGGAGAGAAAGAGAAGGGAGCGACGAATATTGGTCTGCCTGGGCGCCTTTTCCTTGGACAATAGGACTCTCGGAATCAACCACGTCCAGTAGTACTTGATGCGAACCAGCAACCCAAGTTGTGGACTCAGCAGGCTGAATGGTGAGCGGGGGGTCGACACTAGTATCCATAGAAGATGGGCCCGGTGTGAGGGACGAGCTGCCAAACGTAACCGGTTGTGATTCGTCGTGTAGCCGTAATCGCTTTTCCATCGGAGTAGATGTCCGAGTTTCATGCAAAGCGTGCTGAATGGGAGGGCTCTCACTAGATGAATCCGCAGTAAGGTCCACCACCGCCGGGTATGACGCGCTCGTGTTAGCTGGCTGTTTTTCGAGCAATTTTGGGTTAGATGCGCGAGTAAATGGTTTCTTCCCCCCACTTTTTGAAGATGAAGTTTGGAGCCGATCACCTAGTGTGTTGTAAGTTGCTGAAATGTTATTATAATTAGGCTTAAGACAGACATGATTTTTCCGATACACCTTTCCCTTGTCGGTAACATATGTATGATCGGTGACACGAGTAATTTTGAATTTCGCGAGTTTAAAAAGAGGTTTGCCAGACTGACGATCCATAATTTTTTTCTAAACACTCTCACACGTGTAGGATCGGATAAAAGGAGAGTTTCTAAATTACTTGTCTTAGACTGTCGACGGGGTTGAAGTGTCGGTAGACGGCGAACAGTATCTTGGGCCTCTGGAGGCGTATTGATTGACCGGTCTTCCGCAAAGTATAGTGTTTTGCGAGAGAGGCCTGTTTTTAGTGACTGAGCCAGATCCGAATGTCGACTCGACAGCTCCTGTAGCACCCGTTTTCCCCCATCTGGTGGAAGATTTCTTTTCTGTTGAGACCAGTTATTAGCCGCCCGGGCAAGATCGGCCAGCGCCTTGTACGGCGCACTGTCGGCAATGTTTCCCTCCAGAGAGAA